TCAGGTATGGCACGCCAAGTTCTCAGCTAGCTGGCTTACTTTGAAAACGAGAGAAATGTATTCTAGTAGTGCCTCTCGAAACCGCGTGCCTATAACTTATTCGTCACTTCACGTTTATTTAATTTTGTTACTCTTTTGCATTTTGGCCCATTTTTCTAGCACATTTGTTTGTTTGTTTGTTTGTTCTTTTTATATTTGTTTATTGTTAAGTAATTTGAGAAGCGGGGCGGCCGGGGAATTTTCTGGGTAAGGATGAGAGAAAAGTTATTCTAAGATACAGCACGCCGAGAAAAAATATATATATTTTCTCGCGCGCTCATGTGTCCACAGGAGCATTTGAGTGCCAGATTTCCCATTATATTGATACCTAAAGAAGAATATTCCAAACGCCGATGAAAGTTTGAAGAGCCGCAGAGACTTTATTAGCCACAGGCGTTTAGGGATTTCCTTTACTCAAATATGAAAACCCCGCAGTTGTAGAGCGTTTTCTTGCATCAGGTCAAGGTACAAGAGAAAGAAAGAGAGAGAGGGGGAGGGGTTTTATCATCTCTCTCTCTCTTTCTCTGGTACCCTGATTTGAAACAAAGACGCTCTCCAGCTGTAGGGTTTTCACGTTTAAGTAACTCCCGAAACATCTGTGTCCAATAAAATCTATTTTAATGTACATTTGAAAATCTTCTGGTTCACTCCTTTCTTCGCGACTACGTATGCGCGAAGTAAAACCCGATAACCTCTCGTTCATTTACTTTTTTTTTGTTTTTCGCGATCAAGCCTTTTGCTGCGTGAGCCAAGTCGGGAACGACGCCCTTTGTTATTGACCGCGATTCTCTGACGAGACCAAGCTCTAGTTCGCCCTGTTCGAAAACAATCGGCATTGTACAATCCCTAAGAAATCGAGAGAATTCCACACCGTGTTGTCGCATCATATGTGCGAAGCGATTTTTCCCCTATCCGCTTTTGATGAAACCTTTATTTGACCTTTCACTCGCGATTTTTGTTTCGTCCCTGACTAAACAAACGTTCTTCTGCGCATCATCATCGTCATCACCATATATTTTGTGGGAACTCGAATGGTTACTATACGAGAGAGTTGGCATAAACATGTAAAAACAAAATCAACACCACCTTGAACCCAATATTAAAACACCGACATCTTTCTTTTCTCGTCTTCCCAACCAGTGACCTTTTTATTATGTTTTCTTTTAAAAAAACGGTCAATTCGGTGCCGGTATATGATTCTTTTTTCGTCTGATGTCTCAGTCAATACGTTGCGACTAAAACGTGTATATACTTACCTTTGAAAAAGGTTCGCCGCCATCCTCGATGAGGCGGCACAGTGTGCTTTTGCGAAGCTTCGGTCAAGAAACCTACTTTCTCAGCGAACCGGGCAAAAGCCGCCGCGAGCCTCTGCAACTTTTGTTTACTTATTTATTTTCTCGAGTCGTGCGGTCGACCGACCGAAACCGTGGGAGTTCGGTGAAAGCGCAACGGATGCTCAGGCATGCCGTCCATTGAACGGCAAGTTTGGGGGGGGGGTGCAGGGGTGCACTTTTCACACGGCGAGCGTGCACGCAAGGCGAGCTTCTCTCTCCTCCTCGCCCAGTTTGCCCAAAGGAAGTGGGTAAATAGATGCAGAAGATGCAGGAGATGCTTGTCTCTATTGAAAAAAAAAAAAAAAAAAAAGGCAGAAGGTGAACAAAGCTTCGCTAAATTAACTGCCGGCTTTGTTTACCTTTTCTTGCGTGTGAATGTTCGCGAGTCGCATACGGAAAATCACTTTTTTGTTTTGGTTTGTTAGCGCTTCACTTTCAATTTTCACTTTGTATTCCACGGTGTTTTACGGCTACGGGGTATTTTCGCAGCTAACGCTTTTGCATGCAGAATTTTAGCATGGCATTCCACACGTTTTGTTCTTACGAGAAACAGCTTCTTGAAGCCTTTAAAAAAACTTTCGCTAAAGATAGATCCCCCTCCCCCCCCCCCCCCCCCCTTAACTTCGGTACGTACCTTAATTAGATCAGGAAACTTATCTTTACAATTTATCTTTTCTGCATTAAATTTTTTTTTTGCGTAAATTTCTTAGTTACGCGAAATCTAGCAACCCTGATATTCACACGCATTAGCCGCATTCCTCAATGGAAGACCGAGTAATGACGACGTGCGCGACGAATAGCGTCCTTATGATCGGCCTTCCACGATCAGCCAAGCGCTCACTACTACGTCCTGAGTAGGATCATTTCTGCTCTCATCGACGGAAATGAGAGCAAAGTCAGACTCTCAATTTTGACAGCGTTAATTTAAAAGCGTGACGACTGGGCTTCCACAGCGCTCTTATGCACCATCGAACTTGTCGCTCGCCAATAATCTTGGTCGGGACATCAAGGATAGGAACCACAGGGCCCGTTTCAAACGGGGCAATTTCTCCCAACAACTTCATGGAAAGCTGGGGAACTGCTCGCCAGCAACAACTGCTTTGAAAGTTACCCTGTCTAGGGCGACCTACGCAGTAAAAAAAAAAAAAAAAAATTAGTTTTAGAAGAAGTTTAATGGGGCCTTTGACTTTTCCATTTTTTACACCTAAAAGTTGTTTTGAGCACCTCCTGAAAGGGTTTTTCGCAAAAAACCTATAAAAGATACTTTTCAGCTCCTTTGTTTTTATACGAAACAGTTCCTTATTGCCCAGTTGGCGTTCTAGTGCGCCAGTGGGTGATATTGTTTGATGAGAAACCGTTCTTCACGAGCTGAAAGAGTTCTTGAACAGTTAAAAAACTTTCAATTAACTTTTTCTATATCTTTTTTTTTAGAGACAAAAGGCCCGTTTTAGACGGGCAATATCCCCCAGCAACTTCAGTTATTATCTACGAAAAGCTAGAGAACATTAACTCGCTATCAACACTGAAATTGCTGGGAAAGTTGCCCTATCTAAAGCTGGCGCCCACTTCAGACACGGCAATTTCCCCTGCAACTTCATTTAGGAACAAGGGAAAGCTAGAGTACAACTCGCTATCAACACTGAAATTGCTGGGAAAGTTGCCGTGTCTGAAGCGGGCCTGTGGGCGCCACTGAAACATCTCGTCACCAATACTGACAGCTTCAAAGACGCAGGACGTGTTGAGTGCTGAGCATTGTATTGTTGCTCTGATGCAAACGAGATCGTGCCATGAGCCGTTTGCATCGTGCCATGAGCCATGAGCGAATCATGAAGCATGAGCGAAAGAAACCACGTCCGGCGTTTCTTCAGCTGGCAGTAACCATACTCCGTTCATCCCTGAGCTGACCGTGCAGTGGGAGCTACGAGCTTGCCGAACCAATCAGCCGCCTGCCTTTCATCACCTGACCCCACATTCTCCGCGTGGCGACGCGGGGGAAGCGCAATCACGAGGCAAATCATAGACGCACTATACTTGTAGCCGTTTATACTGAGAAAGTTTGGCCAGCGTAATAACGTAAAAATACTAGAAAAAACGCGATTTCTTTTGTTAGTAAATGGTGTTCTTGCGGTATTTGAAGGCACTGCTGTTTTCTCAGAAAGAAACATTAGAAACGAATACAAACACAAACACTACGAAGCACCGAACACCTGAATCACAGCCCCATTGTCTGCTCCAGGACCTTATATAGCCTACATATTGAAGGAATTAATTTGGCCGGTGACCACCTCAACATGTATTAAGGTTCCAACTATTTGATCCTCTCCTCAGGAGTCTGTCAAAGGGAAAACAGTATTTGAAGTTCGTGGACGGTATCTCTTACGAAAAAGCATTGGTGCAGCTAATAATAATTCGGCACAGTTGCTAAAACAACATCCACAAAAACGGCTCCTAGAAGAAATATTATTGTTTCTCTGCATAGCACCAAGGCAGTTTCTCCACTTTCAAATAGTTATTTTGTGTTTCTTTAATAGTTGACTATTTAATATGGTCATTAAAGTCGCTATAGGCACTTACAAAGTCAGAACGGCAGGGCATGCCTTTCGAACGCCTGGCCTCCAGCACGCGCCTTATGCCTTCCGTCGTGCTTTGACTGCACGAGCGCGCTCGACGTGCTCGAACGCCGAAGCGTTGTCGAGGGTAGTAGGCTGGCGCTGGAGGCGGGACAAGTGAAGCTGCTTCCCGTTCTCATCTTGTCAGAGACTATTGAAACACTTAGCGACTTTTGACATCTAGTCGAGGTGTACAATGTTCAATAAAAAGTCAACAGAAAGTCTGTACTCTTCTATTGACACTGGCTACAGAGAGTCAACGGCAAATTTTCAATACGAAGTAAACAGAACGTCTGCAGTCATTCTGATGACACTGTCAACAGAAAGTCAGCAGAAAAAAATCAGCATAAAGTTAATAGAAAGTCAAGAGCTTTTATTTTGACTCAGGCTGTTGAAAATCACCAGAGAAGTTTCAACACAAAGTCAAGAAACTTTCTGTTGATCATGTCAACGGAAGCTCAAAGTCAAAAGAAAGTAATCAGAGTCAACAAGAAGTAAACACGTTTTCGATAAAAAGTCCAAAATCATTTTTATAGGGGTCAGACAGTTGCTTTTGACTGCGTTTGACTGCGTTTGACTGCGTTGCGGCTGTGAGGAACCAGGACATCCCTGCTGCATATATCGCGTGCCCAGATGATTCCTTGAATTGGATTCCACGCTTCATACGAGGCACAGACGTGCCGTTGACTCACTTTCGTTTCTCGACGCAACGCAGTCAAACTCACTCAAACGCAAGTGTCTGAACCGGCCTTTAATCTTCTTTCATCGGCATCCACCAAAGGCCGGCATTCCGGGCCTTTTGCCCACACAAAGGTGATGATAGGTATCAAAGTGGCCAGACTGAATTTCGGATAGGGTCTATTGTGAGTGGCATGTTGTAAATGTGCCTTTAGACATTGGTCCGCCGTTGTCCTTTCCTTGCTCGCGGTCTCAGAGTGTCTGTTATCACCATGTACTTCCTTAATCGCCCGCTTTCTAACAAGGTCACGCACGCTGCATGCGCCATGTGTTTTCTCGCAGTACGGGTTTGTGAACCACGCCCTAGAGCTGTTGGTGCTGAGAAAGTTCGGCGCCGAGACCTGGGAACAGATCAAGTGAGTATGATGTTTCTTCTTCCCCGTTCTTTTAACGACATCGCCGAAACATCATTTAGCACTGCGAACCGCGTCTTCCAGCGGCGCGGCGGTCCACGGCGGCACCGCGTCTCCGCCTACCAGTCCACAGGGGGGCTCGATTAGACATGTCCTAATGGGGCCGCTTCTCTTGCGTGGAACACGTCATCATCCGTGACCTTCGCCACCGCCGTCGGAGACATTGTCCAGTAACTATTGTCCGCCGCTCGTGGACAGGTTGATTTCAAGTGCACGGCAAGGTTAGGCTGCAGCTCTCGAGACGTGACGTGTGCGGTTAAGGAAAGTCTTCCTTAAAACTGACCGGCCCTGCCGTTACGCTCGCATAATCGGAGGTTGTTGGTATGCAGTGGTAGAGCTGTAACGTCGGCACTAACGACACTGACTGCACTGTTTGACGCCGAAACGGCTGTGGCAGCGGGTGCTGACGTCATAAATAGACCTCCTTGTGTCAGCGTAAACGTTGCCTGAAATCGTATCGTCAGACATCAACAGAGGCAGCAAGGAAGAATATAAAGGCGCGCTTACGGTCCTAGTAGACAATACAAAAGGCAGTCTGCAGGGGCTCTGAGGCGTGTTTATTGCTTGTATGAGGGTCTTCTCACACTGGTCGTACAAACATTGCCTGCAGAAATGTTCCAGGCCTATACAAGGTGTTTCTTTTTAAGCTTAACATATTTGTTTAAGAAAAAAAAAAAACGTCGTGAAAGCTACAGTAATGCGGTTTGTACAGGTGAGTTAAGCGACCAGGGGGGACATAGTAAAGGGCGCTAATCGTAACGATCAGTTGGTCAGTAAACTCAAATAGGCTAATTAACTTTTTTTTAATTATCAAGCATGAACGTGTGGTTCTAATCAAAAATGTAATAAACGTAATAAAAAAAAAGTCAGCCTTTCTACTTTCATGAAGAAGGAAGAGCAGCGGAGCTTTAGCTTCTGTTCTCGGCGGTGGCTTTCCAGGCGAGCGATGTGCTCTTCTTTCGCAAGAAAATCTAAAGCGCTCCACGCAGTGGAACTTTAGGCGATAGCGGCCTCGCGGCGGCTGCGGTAGCATTCGCGCTGCTGCGCACATTGCCGCTCGTTCCTTTCCCGCTCTTCTTCCTCCGAAGAAATGTTGCCGCGATCTATGAGCGACGGAAGCAACCAGTTGTCTGGTTGCCTAGGATGAACAGCTACCGCCATCTATGAGTGACGGCGGCACCCAGAGTGGCAGTTACCACTCGTACAGCAGGAACAAAGGCTACCGTTGCGCCCGCGCGGTTTTTCCGACTCTTATCACTACCCCAGCCTTGTGTCTGCTCCACGGGTGGTAGCTTTAGCGCGCTGCTACGCTTCCCATGCGCTCAAATTCTTTCTAGAAATGATTCATCTAGTGGTTTACGAAGACGCGCAGCAGGTTTCTAATTAAAACCATATGTATATTTTCACTAATCAAAAAGTTAATTACCATGCTTTAGATGACCATTCGACTTATCGTGACGTTTAGCCCCCTCTATTATGTTCCCCTGGCCGTATAACTAACGTGCACAAAACGGCATTATGTAGCTTTCACGTTTTTTTCTCTTTTTTTTTTTTTTACAAATTTGTTAAGTAAAAAACAAGCACCCTGTATATGGATAAACTAAAAAAAAAAAAAAAAAAAATCAGGCTTTGAAGATGCACGAGGCGCTATCTGCAGAAACATTTGTGTTATGCTTTCGGCGATCACTGTGTCTTTAGTATCATGTATGAGCATTGCGACTACAGCTTTATGTAACCAACGTCTCATGGAAGTTTGTGTCACGAATATTTTAACTTCTCGTGACGTCAAAGGAATTTTGCGCACGTGACGTCAAGAGCGTACATTCGGATTTGGCCGAGCGCCACGATATTGCTTATCCCGTCTCATCAATTTCAACGTCTGCACTGCGGTTGCCCTGTTTAAAAGTGAGCATTATCTTGCACGATTTTTTTTTTTTTAAAACGTATCAAAACCTATAAAGATGAAATAAGCCGTATGTTCATATACCAGTCCTTGTGCCATCCGACGGGTTCCACGTTTATTGCACACATTTGTATCACTTTCGTTCACTAGTGCTCTGCATCGCACAACGTCTGATAAGTCACCAACATGACTGCAGACTTAAAAATGTGATCTGCGCAAGATTACTTAGTGCCTGCATGCGAGGCAATCCAAGTACCCCGGGAAACTCAGAGAGCACCAAAGTTCAAACCCAATAAAAAAAGTATGCACAATAAAAAAAATGCCAATGCGTTTGTTTGCCAGCTAGGCAAATGATGATACCGAAACAACGTTTTAGGCATAAATGGGAAGTTTCCATATGACACCAAGCATAGTGTTTTATACGCTCACATCATATTATTCGTATCACATTGCAGTGAAATTTTTCAGAAGAACCGTTTTCCCGCCAAGTTGTTCGCCAAGCTTTTCTCAAATATAGTACTGTGATAGGCTAATCGGGTGCCTTGAGATAAAAGTTTCCACGTTAACATTTTTTTTTTTCAGAAGGCGCATCTTTTTGCTGTTAGGGACACTCACTTGAGGTGTTGGTAGTGCTCCTAAATATATCAAACAATGTTGGCACACGTATTTAGAACTTTTAGCATTCAAAATAGCCGTTCTGGTTGATTAACGCATCAGTGACTGGTTCTTTTGTTTTTCTTTGAACTGTGTTTATTGCGCGTAATGTTACTCTTAATCGCGTTATTTTCTTTGTATCTGGATGCCCGTTTGCGCTGGGCAGCGCCAGCGCCGTTGAGAACGCAGCTTCACCGTCGTTCATAATGCAAAATCCCCCCGAACTAATTATGCCACCCCAAAGAGACGAACACCGTGGATTAATAATAAACTGCACGGTTCATAACAAACAACGAATATGGAGCAGATGTGTGTGTTTTCTTTGATGGCGCATAATTCAGAAGCGTTATGGAACTACATAAATGCATACACGGCGTATGCAATGAGCAGCCCTGCCTGGTTGCGAGATGGACATGTAACCGCGTCTCGTATTCGCGCGTCATATTTCATCTCACTATACGCTCACCACTTAACACTGCTAACTGTATTACTTTGATGATGTAATTATGTGGGGGGGTGTCCACACTTGATCATAGCGCTGTCGAACGCGCCGGATATATTGGCGCCTGCACACAGGTAGCTCAAACTTGGGTCGAACGTGGATTTCGGTAGTGCATTATACCTGGTGAAATTTCAAGACCCAGCTCCCTTCCTGTGAGAAATAAGATCAACAAACTTGCCAGGGTGAACGGCGAACGTGTTCGCAGGTGACCGAGTTCACGGTGGTTGTGAATTGTAGCGCCATCTACCGATAGGCGCAGCGAGCAGACGTCGCATGCTGTCGTCTGTTCGCTCAATAGGTATCCGACGCATGGCTAAATGATTTGCGTTCTCTACAGCTGAAGAAAGCAACGCAAGTTCCTTGGCGAAGCTCGGCTGCCAATCTATGATTAACCCAAAATACCTATTGGATTAGGAATAAATTTAGGTTAAGAAAGTAACATTTTTTTTCTTTTTTTTAGGAATGATTACTTTTTATTAATCGAGCTAAGAGGCTTTAGCTGTTTGGAGCGAAAATAACCGGACGATGATGCTCAAGTAACGGCAAATTACATTTCTTCTCAAGTAATCAAGCAATACAATTGAATACGTTTTAACCAAGAGTAAGTGTAATTGTAACCGATGAAGTTTTTTGAGTAACGTGTACAAGACTGCGGCCCAGTGACTCTGGATTGTTTGCTGGTAGATAAGCGCTGTAAAGGTGTATACAATGCGCAGATGTGGTAAGGAACAATTGACATGGTGACTTGTTGCAGGCGCGAAGCTGAGATCGAAATGGAGGGCCAGTTTCTGGTTCGCCTGGTCTACGATGACGAAATCACGTACAGCCTGGTCCTGGCCGCAGAGAAAGTACTCGGTGAGTGCCGAGGACTTTACTCAACAAATATCAACCTCCCGAGACATTTTGGCGAAACGTCGGACCCTCTACGATAAATTAGAAGGCTCGGTCGACGTTTATCTTGCATTCATCGTACATTTCGCTGGATCCCGTCTTACCTGAAAAAGTTTAAAAGGACCAGAAAATATTCTGTCAGCTAACGTGTTTGTATATTAGTAACACGACGTGATCAACTCCGGGAGCTTTTTTTATTAATGCGAAAGCATTAACTATCCCAGGTAGTTGAGCCGGTGGCGTCTGTAACCGCAAAAAAGAAACGCGGAAGAAATGCCAATTCTCTCATTGGCTGAGCCAAATGGCTCCTAGATAGCCATTGGCGGCCGCTTCACGAGAGCGCGCGCTCGGCCGCCGGCCACAACCTTGGCAGTAGCGAAACATGGCCGTCCACGCCGGTACACCGCAGACGAACTAAGAGAGCGGAAGGACGGCATTCATGCTTTCGCATTCACAACTCATAAGAAGTGCTTCGGTGTTTTTGTACTTTACGATGTACTTTACGATGTACAATACGATGTGTTCGCCAAAGGCAGTCATAACGCGTTTTGTTCTCTGGTTTGCAGCTCAGAGATGGATGACATATTGAACAGGCGGATCCCAGACTTTGAAAGAGAAATTCGCATTTGTATTTATTTACTTTCGTCTTGATCAGATAGAGTGCGGTAGGAGGTCTCGGACTATAAGGATTAGTATAAAGGACGCTAAAGTTCTCGTAATTAGGTTCTTCTTGTTTTAGTGTCCATCGTCCAACGGGAGGCGCATCGTGGAATTGGAGACTGGAGCCTCACTTCTTGCATTTTACTGTCGTTACATCGTTCACCGGAATCAACACGTCACAAAAGTACTCCGATGGTGGAAGTTGTAGTGTCGTCCGCGATTAATCGCACCTTCATCACAACAACGGTTTTCCTTCGTTAAGGTTCCCCTTGGTTGCAAGGTGCTATCGAGTCTCGATAGGGTGGTCTGCCTCCGACGTCGGTGCTACTCCTCATGCATACTGCTGCTGACGACAGCGATCTTGCGGAAATAAGCAAAACAAATCAGTTTAATCACAAGACGACACTACAAGAGTCAGAGTACTTCTTGACTCCCGTAGGCTTCAGCCGCGGCCAGACTGTCAACACATAATACAAAGGACATTCCTGCAAACACTGCATGACGCGTGTTTCTTCCTTGCATGACAGTACCATCATATTAGTCATACAAAGACTGTTTGCAGACATATTAGGAGCATATATATTAGATTAATTCAACATGCTTCGAAGATGCTTGAGGCGTTGTCCGTAGATAGTTCTGTCATCATGTCTACAGAGAAACTCCATGTCTTTTGTATGGTATATGAGAAGTGTGACTCTAAGTTTACTCCTCGTTTTCGTTTTTGGTTTGTTTGTTTTTTTCTTTCTCAGACACCCCAGCGGAGGAGATCCTGGAGATGTTCGGACGCATGTTCTTCGACTTCTGCCAGGAGTCCGGCTACGACAAGATCCTGCAGGTTCTGGGAGCCACCCCGAGGGACTTCCTACAGAACCTGGACGCGCTCCACGACCACCTGGCAACCATCTACCCGGGCATGCGCGCGCCCTCGTTCCGTTGCACCGAGAGGCCCGAGGACGGCACCCTCGTGCTCCACTACTACTCGGAACGGGAGGGCCTCGAACCCATCGTCATCGGCATTGTTAAGGTGCGTAAGCTTCTCAGATGTCATCCAAACATTATTAAAAAGGCACAGTGTTCGCTGCAGACATGCGTAGAACATGTCTGCGTGCAGTTTTTGTTCGACCAATTGGACAGGACAGTCATACAAGAAACAAACGTGTCTCGACCAGTGTCTTCAGACTGTTTCGTATGATGCATTAGCATTGTGACCGCGGCTTAACGCTTTGAGTATATATTTGCGTTGTTCAGAGAGATGCAGGAATGGAAGAATTTTGTGTGGAGCGCAAGTTCGTCTGCTTCTTGCACAGGGCTTGCGATGATGTCAAAACGCCGAGCTCTTATTGAATGATCAAAAAAGAATAGGGGGTAGATCTCAACGCATCTTGCGTTGAGGACTACCTACTATCTTTTGAATCCAAGCCAATCAGAGCTCCGCGTCGTTCTGACGTCGCCGCAACTCCTGCCAAAAGAAGCAGACGACTTGCTCTCGACATATGTACAGAGCAGGTGTATCTGCATTCCTAATGCAAACATTTTATGAAATATTTGTTTTATACGAGCGTAGTGGCCCTATGTCATGTTGCGTAACTTTTTTTAAATATTTTATTTAACGCTTGCTTGCACGTAGTTTCTATCGAGCTCCAGTTCTTACGGTTTGACCGGCCTTTGGAGGATTTGGCGTGCAGGTCACATAACTTCTCTTTCATCGCATGTTCGTCCAGATAGCGGATTCGCGACACGCTGCCTAGTAAGATACGCCCTTAAATGCCAAATAAAATAGAGTAATCTTCAACCCCTGATCGAAATTATTCCTCGGTTCTTCACTGAGACTTACATTTCTTTCGTTGGCTCGGCACGTAACACCCCCCCCCCCCTCCCCCATTCGCCTTTATAATAAACCTCAGTTAATTATTAAAGCAATCGTATAGAGAACGACGTGACAGTAGCAGCGCGTTCGAAGACTTTTGATGTGTCAAAAAGTTAAAGTTCCTGTAAAGACTGGTTATGTTAATACATTTGTGTCGGTTGCGTTCACAGCATTGGAAACGACAGAAACGACAAAGTCACCACGGGGAAAAGTGTTGGGCATACATGACGTGGGAAGCGATGCAAAAGGTTGCTTCACGAAGCAATTATAAGCTACGGTTGTTCCGTTGTTCTGGATTTTTGTCGTCTTGGTTGTTGCGAACGCGACCGTCACATATCGGTGAACCAGCCTTATTCAACATTCGGATTAACGTGTCTTACAGGCCGTGGCTAGCAAGCTTCACCACACGGAGGTCCAAGTGGAGCAGATCATGGGCAAGGAAGATGGACTAGACCACGTTCAGTTCGCCATCCGCGAAACGGGCCAACGGGTCCGCACTCCGGAACCCGAACTCGAAGACTTCCTGGACGCCGCATCGCTACAGGAGAAAAAACTGAGTCCAGCCACCTTCTGCCGGGCCTTCCCGTTCCACGTCATGTTCGACCGCAACCTTGCCGTGGTCCAGGCCGGGACGTCGGTGGCCCGTGTCCTGCCGACCTTGACCCAAGAAAACAGCCGCATCTCCGACCTGATGGAACTGGTCCGACCTCACATGGAGCTGACTTTCGACAACATACTGGCGCACATCAACACCGTTTATGTCCTGCGCACGCGGGTGGCTGCGGGTCAGCCGGGGGACCGCGCCACCAGGATGAGGCTCAAGGGCCAGATGCTGTACGTGCCCGAGACAGAGCTGATGCTCTTCCTGTGCTCGCCGAGCGTGCTCAACCTGGACGACCTCAACCGGCGGGGTCTCTACCTGAGCGACATCCCTCTGCACGACGCCACGCGAGACCTCGTGTTGCTCTCCGAGCAGTTTGAGGCGGAGTACAAGCTCACCAAGAACCTGGAGATTCTGACGGACAAGCTGCAGCAGACTTACCGCGAGCTGGAGGACGAAAAGAAGAAGACCGACAGGTAAGACTTCTCTGTCGCATTACAGCGATCGTGCGCTTTTCTACTTCGTGTAGAGCGTGGTTCAAAAGCCCTCGCTGCAAGCGATCGGGTTTCATGAAATCAAGTCTCGCACTTGCCGGCTTTGCTGAGTGGTTGCTATACCGGCATGCGGATCTGAAAATTGCTGGCGAACGGTTAACTACCCGGTAGATGCCACGCCTCCAGAACACACTCGTTGCCGTCCACCGTGCTTTGGCTGCGCTTGCGACTAAGCGTTATCAAAGTGAGAAAGCTCGTGCTCGAGGCGGAGCATCTACTGAGTTCTTGGACTGTCACCGACTATAGTGGTAAAGGTAAAGCAACCAAGATCAATAGTCAAACTGCGCTAGTCATTTTCCCCAGAGTAACGAAGATCGAAGTTTCTCGAACGCAAACCAACGTGGTTTCCGCCGTATAAACATCCGCAAAAAATAATCCCAGATTAAAGTTCGTGTGTCTCACACTTTCTAGTTACACCGACGTATACAAAAGGCTATTTCTAACATTTGAAGGAATGTTTTACATAAAATCAGTGTTATTATCTTAAACAGTTTCAAATAAAAGCATTATCAATACAAGGGCGCGCGAAGAGTCGTGAAACTCGATATACACGTGCTAGTCCGCTTGTACGCAAGTTTTGAGAGACCTACTTTACGTGGCTTTACGACTCACGTGTTTTCTTTACGACTCATACCTTTCTACTTTACGAGTAATATATTTTCAAACAAGCCATTCCTGGTTCGTTCATTTGTCGAGTGACCACCTTGTTCGTCTACTCAAGTTTACAACTATCGCAGCCTACGACGGACCTGTTGTCTGCTCATTTTTACGCTGTTCAGGCTACGAACGTTCTAACCTGGCCGGCACCAGAGCAACGGTAGATGAGCTGATGTACGTATACGTAGAAAGCCGTCATTTTATTTATAAGTGATATACAGCCTTAGCTTGCAGGAATCCACGTCGTGTTAGCATAAAGTACTCTCGTCGCCAGACCTAACTTTGTTGCACACAGAATTGCGATGCTCATCAAGGAGGTGTTCTCTTAGTCTATAAAAGGCTCTGGATATTATTCCCCGCAAGAAAGACTAAACTATTGTATAGGATCTGCATTACGTAGCTGAAATGAGGTGTGTCAACGAAAGAGACACTTCTGCCATGAAAATGGTGGTAGCTATCGCAGGCTTTGTCATCGGGTCAAACACACATCATCGGGAACCAGGGGCGGACGCAGGTATTTCTAGAAGGGGGGGGGGGGGGGGGGGGGGGAGTGTCAGGCGTTGGTCAGCGTATAAGGTTAAGACCCCCCGGTTTCCACGCCGAAATCCTTGCACATGCAGAGTTCAAGAGGCGGGTCAGGTCAACCGGACCCCCTTTCTGAATCCGCCCTGACGGGACCATAGCAGATGTCCAATGACAGCGTTTCTGTTTCATAAGCAGCTTCTGGCACCATTTTTCAATGCCGAACTTCAGAAGTCCCTATCTTGTGTTGGTTAGTGAGGGGGTACGGTGGCGTTGACATCACGCAGGCTCCTCTACTCGATCCTGCCACCGTCTGTGGCCAATGAGCTGCGCCACCATCGTCCGGTAGCGGCCAAGAAGTACGACTGCGTCACCATCCTATTCAGCGGCATCGTGGGCTTCAGCGCCTACTGCGCCCAGCACTCTGACTCCAAGGGTGCCATGAAGATCGTGAAGCTGCTGAACGACATCTACACCACCTTTGACGTGCTCACCGACCCCAAAAAGAATCCAAACGTCTACAAGGTAGGTAGACTATAGTCACTAGCAGGGTGAAAACGGCAGGGAGATACTCCCCGCCCCCAGCGGAAACTGGAGTCTCACGAGCCTCGAGCGTCCAGACGGCAACTAGCACGTTCTGAAGACCGGGCTTCGCAAAGATCCGCCCTGCCGTGTTCATTCTGTCAACGTGAACATACAGTCAGTTGACTATGTGTTCTACAGTTGATCATGCTTCGTGCTGGTGCGAAATCGGTTGTACACCGCGGTGGAACAGCTTCAGGACGTGGCTCATGTTCACGCTTCCAGCTTCCGGATTCCTTCTTCGGCGTCCTTACTCACTAGCTAAGGAGCGATAACAAGAGGCATGGGACGCGCCGCAGCCCAGAAAAAAAATCTGTATCCTTCTTTCCATTGCAAGGAACTTTGGCCACGAAGTATAAGAGCGTGCATACCTCAGGACCATCTTGTGTTGTACTCTAAAGAGGATAATTGGACCGATCTCACCAAGCATTCGGCGCATACGTGACTACGTCTTAACGTTAGTTCGAGGAGGCAAATAGCAGCTGCCCTAGACGGCTCCTGCCGTCTCGTGCTCTGCACGCTCAGAGCAACAGCAAGGTTGCCACACATGAGAAAGACTAAAGTTCCCTCGCCGCATAGCAGCATGCGATGGCATGGCCAAACTGGCGTGTGAGATCGACCGATTACGGTGATGCTCACATTAACGAATTAACTCGATTATTTTCCTAACGGGCGGATGCATATCTTGATGAAATGGCACAGCAGTTGGTGTCATGTAAATTGAACAAATGTACAAATACAGCATGTATTCGAAGCATGACGGCACCGCCATCCCTTCCGACGGCATTCTAAAAAAAAAAATACTAGAAATCGATAAAATATAGCACTTTTTTGTCATTGACATACTGTTTGTAGACACTGAAACGTTCATTCCGTATGAATATTTTGTATGGACTTTGGGCCGTACGTTCGACACCCACAGGTGGAGACAATAGGTGACAAGTACATGGCGGTAAGCGGATTACCGGAACCCTGCGAGAGCCACGCGCGCTGCATCGGCCGCTTGGCACTCGACATCATGGACCTCTGCAAGCAGGTCAAGATGAACGAGGACCAGAGTGTGGTGAGTGACGTCAAGGCTAGCCAACAGAAGGTGATGAGCCTTTGCTTGTTTCCGTTGCTTCTTCTAATTGGATTTTGTCGAAGGCAAATATAGATGATGATCATAATAAATAATCTTTTGCACCAAATGTATATTCTCTAGGCATGTACGAATAGTGGATTTGAAGTTCGAAGCGAATTTGAAGTGAATAGTGGTTTTGGCCCAATATTTTAGGATCGAATATCGAAGTTCGACGAAGGGTTTCACTACCATGCACCATGTTTAAACGAAAAACTAGCTGAACTCGTGAAGGTTGTTCCCAATCTTCCACTTGTCCACGTCTAAGGTCAGTTGATTTTATATAATTGTACGAACTGTGGGATGCAAATTAAATGTTTGCCGCGGCTATCCTAATCGAGTGGATTTATAAATTGGCCTGCTATATGCAAGTATTCTAATATTTTCCAACCGCAACAACAAAGCACACGAATGATGAACGCGGGGTGCCAAGACATCGCTGCTTAACAATAGAGAGTTTTAGTATATCGTGTTTTCAGGCCACGCTATTTGTAGCGGGAGCTCGTGTTGGCACTTCGATGCGTGCTCTGAAGAGCGCGCCAGTAGCAGTAGCAGCCCCGTCGAGCGTGCTTCTAACCGAGCACGTGTGTATTGCGGGGAAGCAATACCTCGAAGCCCGCAAGCTTCGCGAGTATTTCTTCCCCGCAGTGCACAGGGACTAGATGAGAAGCGCACTCAACGGGGCTAACCCGCCGCGATGAACACTTCGAAAAGTTCGAATACCGCAGTTCACCTACAAGCAAATATCGAATAACGTATTATTCTAAACTACTAGCGAAAAGTCGAATAGTTGTACAACGCTATTACGCATATAATGTATCCTCTATACGGAGAAAGCCTGACACTTCACCGCAAGAATGTATATGGTATATTGCCGCGTGCGCAGCGGAGTTGGTTTCCCACGCAGCTGGTACGCGAAGGTACGGGGTTCGAATCCCATCTGTTCAATTTTTTTGTATGTATTTTTTTTGTATTTTTTTCAAAATCTTGTCTTTTCTGGAAAGTTCCAGTTCACTCTTGTCTGGTATCGTGTGTTCCGGTTTAGAACATTCCTGCGCAGGCGCGCGTATAAAAGAAGCTTTAGCGCAGTGCTTCGGGTCATCCTCCTTTCAGTCACCGACGCAGGATGCGTGGTACCTCTCTTGGTTTTAGTTAAAGGCGCAAGTTCGCCTTGTTACACTTTACTCTTATTAGTTTTCACGCAAGCCTATGTTTCTGTTCGTAACAGTATCGTCTGACCGCCGTGAAAGAGGTGGAGTGAATGGCAGATTAGGATCTCCGATACCAGCGCCATGCCACGGCTGCGACCATTCTTTGAAACACATTTCGCCGTCTCGAAATGTGGTTCAGAGTCTAGCCGATGCCGTTCTCTCTGTTGTGCGGTGGGGACCTCTTTTGTTTATCCTCCCACAGTCTCTCAGAATAAAGGAAACTATGTGTTATATCGCATGCATACGCTACGAAGATCAGCTGCTAAAATCGCAAAATGTTCTAATTAAGACGTGAAAAAAAAAAAAAAAAAAACGTTTATTCGGCGTATCGCCGCTGCTGCGGCGTTTTGGAGGCCCAGTGAGCAGTATTACAATGCCGACCTTTCCGACCTGGGCTTTCCACATGTGGACAAACATGCTAGATCGCTCCATTGCGTTCGCCACGCCCGTTGCCACCAGATGCCTGTAGGATGAGTCTTTGTGCCTTACTGTGCCTAGAATGCAGAGTTTTTCCAACTGCTTGATCGAGGTCACGTGGTTTGTGGGCCGCGTTCACCACACGGGCTGTAAGGAGGTGGCGAAAGCGTCAATTGTCTGCAAGCGACTCCGCCATTTAATTGCAAACACTCTCCATGGTGTGAGTTGTCCCCTCTCTTACATCGACAGGCTTTCTGTTCTGTCAACGAGGGCCATGCGTTTTGAACGTGTAAACAGCACGAGCTTCCCATAACGTCCGTGGGCCTGTCTCTCGCAGCAAGTGACCATCGGCATCCATTCTGGAGAGGTGGTCACCGGGGTGATCGGAAAGCGTATGCCTCGCTACTGCCTCTTCGGAAACACGGTCAACCTCACCAGCAGGACGGAGACGACGGGTGAACAGGGGCGCATCAACGTCTCCCAGGATGCTTACAGGTGATCTTCCCACCACCCCCAACACAACAACCATCATCATCATAATCATCATCGGCATCAGCATCATCAGCACCATTTATTCAACTTCCAGAGTTCGTACGGGCATTGCACTGAAAGTGAAGAATCAGTAATAAAAAAAAAAGCCAAAACGTTCTTAGCTTAGATTTCAAGCTATATACGTTTAAATTACACAAAAATTAAAAAAAAAAAAAAAAAAATTTACATAGGTAAGTTTTATAACTGGGGTTATATTCGGGGCAGTTGTTTGTTTCGGGGTTTATTTTTTCAAACTCGGTGTTTTCCGGTGTATATTTTTGTATCGAAAAAGAATCGGCGTTAATCGGGTCTGAAGAAAACAGGACACGGCCGTGCGATGGCCCAATCTCCAGGGCACATGCGCGTGTCCCGAATATTTGGGAAACGTCCCGGTGCCAATGAAAGAAGACCGAAATAAGGGGCATGGTTTCCGAAGAAGGAATCAACCTCTCCGGCAGTCCAGTGCGTGCTATGCAATGTTCCGGCTAAACACAAGCTAAAAGAGTAATTAAAGATACACATATATTCCCGCGTAACTTAACTTTCTCTTATTCAAAGGCAGATTCATTTCGAGAGTTTTTCGGTGCTTCGGATTTCAATACAACCGGCTTGGTTGTCAGTTTTCGGAGTTCATCGGTACATACCGAAACCATCTAAGCATTTTTGTCACTTACCGGCCGTCGTTCGTATTCCAAGTCAAGCGCGTCTTCCAGGTGTCTTCAGCAGCCCCAAAACCAGGACCCGACATTCAAGTTCGACTATCGCGGCCTGGTGACCATGAAGGGCAAGAAGGAACCGATGAAGGTGTGGTTCCTATCCAGGAACAATGTCGACGCCACTGCAGCCTGAAGCTTCACTTCACCGAGGGTCGATGCCGTTTTCTTTTTCCCATTCACCCGCGCCATCGATTGTATTCCGTTTCACCTTATACGATGGACCGCAGAAGACGCTACAAGCCATCGAAGCCATTCGACTTTGCTGCGATGTTTTGTAGCGCCCGCTGTGGTCCATCGTTACATGAAACGACCAGTCAAGTCGTTCGGGTCGTTCAGTCGTCCAGAGAGTTGTATGGTCGAAGAGAATGGCCGCCACGCTAAGCTAAGTATCCTGTTCACTCAGAAAGTCAATTGTGAAGCACACGTTATGCTGGGGTAGACAAATCCGTTTTATTACAGGTAAAAGTGTTCATGGTTCCTATCGTAAGCTTAGGCTAAGAGTTCAGGGTAAAATACTCTCACCTCTTTCCGCTTTAGCAAAGCGAGCGTTGGAGAGGAAGTCACCTCATCTTCAACTTTCTCTCTGCTAAAGCGGAAAGAAGTGGGAGGAGCTTCCCCTGAATTCTTAACCTGTCACCGACTATAATAATCTCGCTCAAACATATTTATTTGGATTAACCTTTTAGTGCTTCATGGTTCTGCACCCTGCGTTGTCTCTAGTTTTGTTTCGCGCGCGTCCTATTCCATCTATAAATTTTGACGGGCGAATGTCTCGCAATAGGGTATTTTCACACGCGTAATTTCGTTCAGCATTTTGTTGTCATGAGCTGTCTGGCGCGTGCTAAGAGCGAGTAGGTAGTGCACACAAAGTTTATGAGTTTCACGCCTTTTAATTTTTTTTCTTCTTATAGAAATGAAACATTTCTCACACACTCACTCACTCTAACAACAAAATGGCGGATTTACGTAATGTGAAAACACCCTATAGTTTCGCACCACAGAATGTACACTATAGTCATCAAAATTCCGGGAAGATCTTTCTGAGCCTTACATTACGATGATATGTCAATGAAATACAGTATCATCCCACGCGGAAACAGGATAAAAGCGCAACATCGTTCACCACACATCTTGTAGAGAAAGCGGACTCTGTGTCGACCCACGATTCCCGATCCCCCCGGGGAGGGAGGGAGGAGGGAGAGGGGGGGGGTAATTTATTGCGAATGCCTAGTACAAAAGGACGGCTGACTCTGGTTATATGATTTTGAGACCTCCAAGCTCTTTTGATAAGATGAGAAATAATGACAAGGGGAATTAACCTGTTAAGTCCCAAGCCAATAGCCGACAACCAGAGGTGTTAGGCAGCTCCAGAGAGGGACCTATACCAGCCGCCTCGGTGGCTCCGAGGCGAGAGCGCCGGCCTACGGATCCCCAGGTGGCGGGCTCGAATCCCGACCGAGGTGCCCGCAATATGACGGAGGCTTATTGCGGAGAAGGCGCCGTGTAACCGAGCTTTCGGTTGCTCGTCAAAAGATCCCCAGGTGGTCGAAATTAATCCTCAGTCCTTCGCTGGGGCGTGCCAGATGCCCGTCGTAGGTTTGGCACGTAAACCCCCAAATTTGAATTTTTTTTTGAGGGACCTATACCTTCCTGCCGAAACAACAAAAACTGCCACTGACATACGAAGCCGGGGACTATGGCACAAAATGGAGACAAGCACAAACTGTCACCATTTCTTTTTGTATGATCGACTGATGGCAAGCTGTTTGTGGACGATCAAAAGTAAGACTACCTTAACATGTCGAGAAAAACCTCTTCTATTCTTGGTGTTTTTTTTTTTTTTTTTTTCTGATATTGATTATTGAGAGTTTGGAGGGCTCAGAGTGCTTCGTCCTAATCTGTAACTTTGACTTGCAGACAAAACAAGAGCAATGCGGGGAATGTTTTGTCGAGCTGTTATACCAGGACCCGATGTTGTGCGTGCTGTTGCGTATATGTGCGTGTTTCTGTCGCTTTCATGAACCGAATCACCACCTGTTGTGTTTCATCCGCTTTGGCGGCGTCCGCATGCGGGCTTTCCCGCTTTAGCTGGTTACGTGTCGAAAAATTTATCACAAGTGAGTCACGATATAAGGGTATAAGCATATGTTGTTGACTGTTTTATTTGATGAAATTTAAAAAAAAGGAAGCATATTAAACTTGTCGTGAACATCTGACTGCGTTTCTTATTCCATACTAGGTGTTTCAACGAAGAGTTCTAAAAATGCCTAAAAATACGGTGATTAAGAAAAAATTAGCTGTCTTGGGGAAGAAACTACCAGTTACGGCTGACGACGATCGCAAAGAACAAAAGGAAGGTGGGAAAAAAGGAAGCAGACGCAACGCTGACCAGGGGAGAGGGTTTGCTCCTCCCCTGCCAGCGTTGCGTCCATTTCCTCCTCTCCCACCTTTCTTTCCCCCACCTTACCTTCTTGAGTTGTGAACTAACTTATCAAACTTTACTAAATGACTTGTTTATTAGGAGAGCTTGGTGGCCAGTACCAAAGGTAAGTTGATAGCTGCAGACAGAACGATCACATATTCGTTTTAAAAACGGAGAAAAAGTCATTCTACGCCCTGCAGCTCAACTAGAAAACCTCAAGCCTTTTCAACAAAATACCGAAACGCAGCCAATAAGAAGCGCAGCAAAGTTTCTTTCGGGCGCGGCGTTTCAGTTCCTAATTAATTTAGGAGATGTTCCTAATTTTCTTTTCAACATGACGTTCCGTGTTTCGTTACACTCTAGGAACATTCGACATTATATCTCCTAAATTAATTTCAGCTAATATTAGTGAGCACGAGACGATGGATGCGGGTTAGAACCAAAACAATTACTTTCGTAACCTAACGTAACGATCGGAAATCTCTGTTCGCCGAAATCGAAACCAAAATGAAACGGGCTATGAACTCGAAGCAGTTTCAGCAGTGGCATTGTGATCTCCAGCACGTTTGCCTGTGTTTGCGTCACGTGGCTTGGATGTCTGGCGTGAATGAGTACGTGCACATGTTATCGACTTTGCGGTGCTGATTTCTGTACCGTCAAAGCTTCCTGTGTGCACATATCTTGGGAACAATGATTGTCTGATCTTGAGCCGCTCTTCACATCACAAAATCTACCATGAATCGCGTCATTGCCGTGTGTAAGACGCTCAGAAACCACTGGAAGAAGTCCACCTTCGCCGCGTGCCTCATCGCCTACGGAGGATGGTACTTGGACGACAGACATCGGTAACGTAGTAATTCCTTTCCACGGCCACTGGAGCGTGATCGAAGTGCCATTTTGCAGGACGAATCTAATGATGAGAGCGTTCTGCGAACACGCAAAGGCGTACGGCGACGAGCCGCTTCCCGCGGGCGCAAAGCCGCGACACATCACCGTGATCATCAACCCGACGGCGAAAGATGGGTGGGTACTGCCATTTCAACTCTCCTTGCGATTGATCACCTACTCCCATATGAGCAAACCACATCACTAACTGCAGTAATTAATAAATAGGTGAATGAACCACCAGCATTGCAGTGATGAATCGCCTTGTCGATCGTTCGTTGCAGGAAGGGGAAAATTTTGTACGAAAAGTATGCAGCTCCACTGTTTCACCTCGCTGGCATTCGAGTGAGCTACTTCACGGTAAGAGAGGGACACAGTTTTGGTGAAGAAAACTTTTTCAGTCAACATTACTATAAAATACGGACATTTGAGAAGCCAACAATTGTAGTAGTTAAAAAATAGAGTATGGATCGCCTGCTGTCGCAGTTGCGTTAAGTTGAAAGATTTCGGACAAACTTTACAGACGGAGTACGCCGGCCAAGCCAAGAGCTTGATGGAAGTTCTGGAGAACACAGACGCCGTTGTGATTGCGGGCGGTGATGGTACCTTGCACGAGGCAAGTGCGTAATTTTTCTGACAAACGTAAAGGCGATGGGTGTCTTCTCTACCAAACGCACAAGTGATATGTTCACGGAGTTCTTAGGTTTTGTCAAATACTACTCTTGTGTTCTCAATGCTGAAGACCAACTTGCCGATTAATGAACCCTGTGATAACGCTCTTACCCAACTTGGCCCACCGTCCTTTTGTACCGTTATGAGAGAGCATTAAAAATGAGCATGTTGGTAAATATACTTAAACAACCGGAGAGAATAAACACAAATTCAGGACAAAAACTGACGCATACAATTTGTGTTTATTCTTTCCGGTTGTTTAAGTTATGAGAGAATTTTGTTACAAAATTGCCCAATGTCCACACTTTGATATTATATAAACAATTGAACCGTCGCAGCTTATTTATTTCGGATGTGACCTTTTGATAACATTCGTTTGTGAGGTAGGTTGAAGCAAATTAAATTCAGTTCGGGTGCAGTGCTGTAATTAGTGATGGGACGAATCTTTATCCGGATCAAAATTCGGAGCCAAATCTGAGGATTCGGAAAGGTTCAGAAAAGTAGCCGAAGCTCAAGCGATTCGGAAAAGTTCGGAAAGATTCGGAGCGTTGGCATGGTTGCCAGATCCTGTTGATCAGAGTTTCAACTTATAGTGATATTAAATTCACTAAATTCTACAAAGTGCACAAAATAATATATTAATATAATATCCTAGTAATAATAAATAAAATGTTCCGCTTTGTTTATATTATTTTGGATGTTCGTCGAGAACGGTAGCCAGACATCGCGGGAAAATTGGTTTCGGTTCGGGATTACGACCAAAATAGGCATGCTTGGTGCACGTGGAAATACAAGCGCATGTTTTCATCGCCGCAAGAGATCGATGCCCTACGTGCTGTACGGTACAGACACATTTCGTTCCCATAATTACTGTCATAGTGGCACACATGACACAAGTGAGTATGTTCGATTCGATTATCTCCAACGCGTGTCCACTGAGGTATTGCTATCGGAACACGGGAAACAATCTGAAACTCCTGGTTTATGCTATGCTATCCGATTTAGTTAGTGTTTGTTTCCGAACAATGAAGTTGCGTTGCACACCCCTGTGTTGTGTTTTTGTTTCATCAAATAAAGTTAACGTATACAAAACTTGCTGCCGACAACGAGCTTGGCTGCCGAGAACGGAGAAACGACAGTGCAACGTTTTTCTTCGCCACCGATACGCGGTCGGAGTTGTGACGAGCAGCATTCATCTCGCTCTCGCGCCTTACAGGTACAGACATACACAGCTCTATACTCCGCGACAACTTTTCTTGGCAATGCAGCGGAAGGTACAGGCCCGCGTCCCCTCTCCCATTATGAGTGTGCGCAGGCTCTCCGCCTCTCCCCGCAAATGGGGGAGGAGGAGAGTCTGCGTACACTCAAAATGGGAGAGGGGACGCGGGCCTGTACCTTCCACTGCATTGCCAAGAAAAGTTGTCGCGGAGTATAGAGAAGGACACGAATCATTTCCTTGCCTGAATATGTATTTATTGTGCGTTGCGCCACATTTTGTAGAATACAAAGCGTTTCGCTACATATTACCGATCACCGCGAAACCGCACAGATAGCAAGGCCGTGCATTGGTTAGGCCTACGTGAACCACATCGATCAGCTCAGCTGGACCTGGGCGCGTGCCAGAGTTTAGAATGACAGTTGAATACATACCATACGTTGAAATAAACAAGACAAAATCTGGTTATATGCAGTAACAGTACCTAAGAAAAGCACAACTGACCGCATTCGTGAGGTTTACGACAAGGTTCATGCTGCCGCCTGCAACCAGCGACGAATCGGACGAATATTCGTCGCGGGAAGATCGGAAATTTCCGAATCTGTCCGAATCCGAATCTCCGGTGATTCATCCCATCACTAGCTGTAATAGTCTGTTGCAGGGTTGAGAAAAGCTAGATGGCTACTCCTACAAACCCTTCCGCCCTTTCTACCTTAGCAGAGCAAATGCTGAAGAGGAGGCAAGTGGAAAGGAGGAAGCAACCAATCACAGGGAGCATAGAGCTTCATAGGAAGGGCCTCTCCTGCTTTTCTTAATCTGCAACAGACTATAACAACAAGCATAAGAAGGAGTTGAGTGCTTCATTTGAATGCTCTTATTCACTGTACTCTTTCTGAACATTTGTCGGTCATGATTCATAGCCCTCCTGTTTGTCTTACACATGATTAAGAACAATCCATTCACTTTAAGAAACAGCCATATCTTTTGTATGTGTCCATCTTTTTAGGCTGTCACCGGCATCATGTCTCGGAGTGACTATGTGAGTACCAATATGCTAAACTCCGCTCAATCTGGTGCATGCGAGTTTCACCGGTAGCATACTAACTTTAGCTGAAATGCGTTGGCAGGCGACGGCGTGCAAGCGTTACCCCATGGGTGTCATTCCTGCCGGCAAAACAAACGCGGTGGCAAAGCAGCTCTTTTGGGAACCTGGGATGAATGAGGCAAGGTAAGCGTTCATCCGCTTGCCTCTCTGCCCGTGCTTAGGCTCTACTCTTTGTTGCTTTGGTATTGTAAGATGGTTTTGAACAGTGACGTCATGCACTTACATGTCAGTAATCTGCACGTGTCTGCTCACCCAGAACAGTGCGCTTTGTAGTAAACACCTGGCAATAAACCAATACAAATTTATGAAAAAGAAGATGTGCAATCTTTTTGTAAAATTTTTATCCAATACCATTGCGCTCACCCTAAAAAACATTGAAAAGAAGTCTTTCTGCAGTCGAAACTGTTTGCCTGTTGCGTTGCTGTGTCGGTGAAAACAACCAGAATGATGCATGCGGTAGCAGGCTTCTGCTTATAATCCATCTTAATCGCTATCTTAATTGCTAATTTGTATGTTTCTTTGTTTTGTTTTTTTCTCAGGTGGATTGCATCCTCAGCCATGGCAATCGTGAAGGAGCAGTTGTCAACACTGGATGTGGCCCAAGTGGAGGTAAATAATCTGCCTTCTTTTTTTATGTCCGCATCCTGCTTATAAAGTTCTAAAAGTATGTCTCGAAGGAGCTATTGGTGGAGGCACGTAAGACCTTTATTTAAGGCCCTTTCAGTTTCACGAAAGGCCTAGCTTTGCTCAGCATGTCGGTGATATATTGGCCTGTGAGCTGGTTACTGCTGAGATTATATTTCGCTGCATGTGGCCATGCAGAAGGAGCATAGAATATAGTGACGAAACCAAGGTACATGCTTGAAGCTCTGGAACGTAACTCGGTTGCACTTGTGAACCATGCTACCGAGACGCATTCCAAAGTGTCATGCTTGCACCAATGCTTTACCACTGCTGTGCCACTTCCAAGATGGAACAAAGCAGTGTGTACTGCATTCACCTTTAAGCTAAAAGGGCAGCAAAGGTGGCAAGCTTTGCTTACTGTTTTAAAATGTACTGTTCTACTGCGAGCTCTTGGGCTTTTTTTCAAAACTCTCATGTCGTGCTTGTAGCATTTGCTGCCCTGTAAGCTTAAGGGAACGGAGTTTAGGAAGCTATAATATTCATCTCTGAGCTTTCAAAGAAGGGGGGGGGGGGGGGGGGCAGGGGGGGTATAAGTGTAGCTGTTTTTACATAGCATATTGCAAACTGCTGTTATACAGGGTGTTTCAGAGAACGCCGGCCAAATCGCTCCTGCGAAAGCTACTCATCACAACGAAAAAAGGCTTGTGGTGTTTTTGTCCTGGGCCAGGGGCCTATTTAGGAAAATGATTAAAGTCCGGGATAATTAAGTCGTTAATTATTTTTGTGGAATTAACTTTTTTAGTATTGTGTTTAAAGGGATACTTCAACGAAATTTGAAATATATCCGTCGTGTTCAAAAATAGGTTGAATATGATCCACAATATCCGTAAATGACAATTGCACGTTTGTATTTTGAGCCTGGTGGCTGTATTTTTTTGTTATAAACAGCCCACTCTAGCAAGCGCTCGGAGAAGGCCCAGCTTAGAGCACGTGACATCCGACCCAATCGTAACGTAGGTCGTCTCGGGACGAGGAAAGCTACGGCGAGGCCGACATCAAGGGGATGGCTTAGTCGTTCCAGCCACCGAAGCGGCTGCTATTGTACGAATTTTAAGTGACGGGTTATGTTTTATAATCTTGTAGGGGGACAATAGCTACTTCTGGAACACACAAAAGGGATTCTCAGGAAGACGGGAGTTCCTCCTTCCCCTCTTCTCTCGTCGTGGTCGAAGGCGAGACACTCACCGTCACTAGCTGTCAAGGTTCCTAGACGGGCATTACAAACGAGGCGTTAGCGACATCCACCAGGTGCTCTTTGCTAATCGTTTAATTCGATTTAAAATTCCTTTTCGTGACTTTTTTAACAAGATATTGGTATGTTCGATGTGATATTGCTTCTTTGAACACATATAGATTATAAAATAAGCGCCGAAATTTCGTTGTATTATCCCTTTAAGGGCATGGTTTAAATTAGAAAATTGCTCATCATCATCAAAAAACACTAAATCAACGAATTGCAGAACGATAGAAAGCACGCGAAGCATTTTACGGCTTTCTGAAAAACCGCCCAAATTTGACGGGTTTTTAAGTTTCGGTTTCCTATCGGAGCTCATCTCGGACCCGGCGGCACCGCGCCCCGTGGAGAGATAGTGCAATCAACCTCTGCTGCACTGTCATCGCGCGTCGCAGCAGATGCTGGTTGCACTATCTCTCCACGGGGCACAGTGCCGCCGGGGCCGAGATGCGCTCCGATAGGAAACCAAAACTTAAAAACCCGTTGAATTTGTTTGATTTTCAGAAAGGCGTCAAATGCTTTGCGTGCCTTCAATCATTCTTCAATTTTTTGATTTAGTATTTTTCGATGATGCTGAGCAATTTTCTAATTTAAACCACGCCCTTAAACACAATATTAAATACGTTAATTACGCAAAAATAATTAACAACTTAATTATCCCGGACAAAAACGCCACAAGCCTTTTTCGTTGCGATGAGTAGTTTTCGCAGGAGTGATTTGGCCTGCGTTTTCTGAAACACCCTGTATGTGTGTATGCATGTATGTATATATATATATATATATAAGTGAAAGATGCGTACTGTCGGAGTTACTAATTCGAAGTTTATTACGACGTTTCGAGCGGGGACCGCTCTTCATCAGGTAGCGAGTATACAGCCCGCGAATGTTTATATACCCCTAAGAAGAAATTAGAGGGAGTAAAGTGCCGTAGAAAATGGAAACAGCGTTGACAAAACAGATAGATTACACAGAAAGGAGAGGGCACCAAAACTTGACAATCATCAAAAAAAAAAAAAAAAAAAAAAAAAAAAAAAAAAAAAAAAAAAAAAAGTTGTTGGTGGAGAGAGTATTTCCTTTCACACACAAAAATAAAAAAACAAAAATAAAAAAGGGGGTGGCTCGTCTTCAAACCAGAAATAGGATACATGTGACCACAGAGACGGAATTGCGGCAGTGATCGAAGCGTATGAACACGCTCAGCACACACTTGACATCGAGGGGGACGTCCTTTCAATTCTGATGAAACTGGTTTTGGAGAACAATCACTTTGAATTTGAGAATAGGCACTTCCTGCAGACCAATGGAACCGCTATGGGAACTAAGATGGCGCCAAATTACGCTAACATATTTATGTCACAACTGGAAACCACCTTTCTCGCTGAACGCCCCACTCAACCGCTGTTTTACACAAGATACATCGACGACATATTCATGATCTGGGCCGGTGCTGAAGACGAACTCATGAAATTTATCGCCGCCTTCAATTTAGCTCACTCATCGATAAAATTTACTCACTCCGTATCACAAAAGTGCATAAACTTCCTGGATGTAACTGTGGAAATTTCCAACAACAAATTAAGTACGAAACTTTACAGAAAACCTACCGATAGACAACAATACCTCCATTTTAACAGCTGCCATCCTCGACACTGTAAGACTAGTCTGCCGTACTCTCAAGCGCACAGATTTAAGCGCATATGCTCAGACAACAACGACTTTGAACAAAACGCTCAGGAACTGAAACGCGTACTAACCCAGCAGAGGTATCCAGCAAATGTAATCGATGACGCTATAAACAAGGCAAGAAACCTCGACCGCTCAGAAATCATTGGCAACCGAATAGAGCGTCCTCAAGAAAGCAGACAGTCTAACCTCATCTTAACGTATACAGGCAATCTTCCAAACATCAACAACATATTGAGCAAAAATTACAATCTTCTGTCACAGAGCGACCGCCTCAAAGAAATCTTTCCCGCCGCTCCTCGGGTCGTCTATCGACGCGGCAGGAATCTCCGGGACGTCTTAGTAAAATCAAAAACTACCACTCCCGCAAACCTAGGTTGCCGACCATGCCGAAAGCCCAGGTGTAAAGTATGCAAGCACATGTTAGAAACAAAGAACGCCACGAGCACAAATTCAGAGTTCACGTGGAACATAAGGGGTAGCTACGATTGCGGCACGTCAAACGTGATTTATCTCCTGCACTGCAATGTCTGTAATAAACAGTACGTCGGACAGACTAATTTGGCTTTCAGACTACGCTTTAACAACCACAAATGTCACGCACAAACACTCCCCGACCTTCCGCTCTCAAAGCACCTGTCTCTTTCTAATCACTCAATCAAGCACATTTCTGTTGTAATTTTGGAATCAGGCTTCAGCACAAAAATTGAAAGAGAGCAAAAAGAATCATATTTTATTTATAAGTTTAATACCTTCAACCAGGGCATTAATGAAAGTCCGGGAAGGCTGTTTAGTTTGCAGCTGGCTCGTTGGAGAGCTGATCCTCTCCGCCCTTGAGCTTCTCTAGATGCACACACTGAAGACACTAGGAGATCTTTAAACTTAACAATCGATAGTTAAACCACATCCTAATACGTTTAAGTCCGAAGAGAACCTCCAAAACGGATAAATGCGGCTCAAGCGGTTAATCTCAGGCAGGCATAGACTGTCACATCCCTACCACTCCTTATCCAAAGAAAAATCCCCCAAAGTGTTTAACTTCGACCTCTAGCACAAAGGAATGTCACGGGATTTGGGGGCGTCGGTGGTCACATGTATCCTATTTCTGGTTTGAAGACGAGCCACCCCCTTTTTTATTTTTATTTTTTTATTTTTGTGTGTGAAAGGAAATAATCTCTCCACCAACAACTTTTTGTTTCTTTTTTTTGTTTTTTTTTTTTGCGCGAGCGTAAATAATCTTTTGCGTTTTTTTTTTTTTTTTTTTTTTTTGATGATTGTCAAGTTTTGGTGCCCTCTCCTTTCTGTGTAATCTATCTGTTTTGTCAACGCTGTTTCCATTTTCTACGGCACTTTACTCCCTCTAATTTCTTCTTAGGGGTATATAAACATTCGCGGGCTGTATACTCGCTACCTGATGAAGAGCGGTCCCCGCTCGAAACGTCGTAATAAACTTCGAATTAGTAACTCCGACAGTACGCATCTTTCACTTATTAACTTTTCCCGGTCCATTGTTTTCATATTTACCTTACTTTACCTATATATATATATATATATATATATATAAGCACACACAAAGTGTTTCGGAAAAAAAGTTTGCAGGGTTTTTATTTACTGCCAAAATAAATCATGCATGGCCGAATGCTCGTTCTCCGCCCAAAGGTAGCGCTAGAGGTTTGAAGCGGATGCCAAAGTTTCAGCGGGAACCAATATTTTATTCAGAAGTTATAAGTGATTTTCTGAAAATTTCAATGGGAAAATGGGGCCCATTTTTACCGTCTTCGGTTTCTAGTGCCATATAGCGTCATGTGTTTAAGAGCTCCGTTAACCACCATTTTCCCATTGATATTTGTCGCTTGAAATTGTCATTTTTAAGTTATAATAACAGTGTCAAAAGCTTATTCAGCTAAAAAAAAAAATTATGTGCAAAAAAGGAACTATACAAAAATGTCAGGTGTTCTACGGCTACCCGACAGATGGCACCACTGCATTCTCTTGTAAAAAGTTTTAAGGCACACAGTCGTAAGCAGTCCCAAGCGTATGAACCAGCCTCAAGGGTCGAAACTCCGTGACTGGTTGTCGAAATGCAGCTCAGGCAAGACGAGACTGCCAAAGGAGAGGAAGGTCCCGACGACGTCGGTCACCCCAGCGTTCCCGCCGAGGTCAACAACCCCCAGGTTGTCTATGCTCTGGGACGGCTGGAGCAGGGCGCCTTCCGAGACGCGCGCTCCACGATCCCAAAGTGAGCGACACGCCCTGTGATCCAAGCCAAATTCGACGTTCGCGTTTAGGTGGCAGGGGTGGGGATCGAACCCAGGTATCCCGGGTTCGATCCCCACCCCTGCCTGTTTTGGTCCGGACGAGCGTCGTGTCGGCGTGCGGTCGTGTGCTACTACTGCGTGATGCACAGTGTAAACCCCGGACTTGCGGTTGTACCACAGCGGCTGGATTTCTCGCCTGCGGCGTAAACCGGTGTCGCCATACTTCGAAGGCAGGCCTACCTTATGTTGTCTAAACGCAAACACTAAATTTGGTTTTGGTTTGCTCCCCCCGCAGGAGCGGCAGTTCACGGGGGGGTGTGCGGTGAAGTTTCGTTAATGCAAGCACCTTTGTTCCCCCCCCCAAAAAACGTCCGTAATGTGAGTTGTCTGCAAAGGCGAGACAAAAAATTGTGTATTAACCCAATTTGTTCCCAAAATGTTGTCCTTATAGGTGGGTATCCATGTTAACAGGGTCCGTATCACCTTGTTCACTTTTTCTTTGGGTCGACGTTCTTTGGTTGTAATTTTAGGTCGACCCCTTATAGTATTTTGCTTTGTTTTTTATTTAAGGTTACATGTGCATGTATTTCCTGCCTTGACATTCATCATACAGAATGCTCGCAGCATAGACTAGGTAATATTAATGGATTGACTCGTAATTTAAAAAGAATGCATCTTCAAGACAATGTTGAATTCACATTTTAATGCAGTTTTCCTTGGTCATGTTGGCTTTTTTAACTGCGGCCCTTTGAAAATTAGATCAACTTGCTTCTACTAATGACACGCCCATTACTGCAGGTACTGGTACTTTGGGGCACTCAGGACGAGGGCTGCTTTCTTCTTTAATGCGCTAAAGGTTTGTCTCAACACTTCCTTGTTTTATTGTTTCTAAGTGGCCCTTTTAGCCTTACTCATCTTCAGTATGTCCATCCAATACTACCTGAAAAAACTGTCAGGGGCCTCTACAGAGTTTGGGAGTTGAAGAAAAGGGGGTGGATTCCCCTTCCTTTCCCGTGAATTGTTTACTAAAAATTTAAAAATCCTTGGGAGCAGGAGGGATCCCCCCCCCCCCCCCCCCCCCCCAATCTGACACCACTGCCACCTATCGAATATTGTGGTTCGCTCAGACCCATTACTTTATTGTGTCTCTTTTTCATTTCATCTCATTTATTTAACCTCAAAGAATAATATGAAAGCAAAAAAATATTAGTTTTCGTGGTACATGTCTACCGTAAAGCCCACCTAAAATCGAGAGAAAATTGGGTGAAAATAAGAAGTGGGCTAAATTTCCGTGTGCAATCTAGAAAAGGTGAAAAAATTTCGAAAATAATCCTTGGAGAAGGGGAACAAGAGGGACAAAGGACAAACACAAATCTCCAAACACAGCTAGGTGACTGGTGCGCGACCAAAAAGATCCGCCTGGTCCGGGTATCGAACCCGAGACCTCTCCCATTACAGCTGGAGCGCTCTACGAACTGAGCTAACCAGGGGTTAGACGTCCGTAGAGCAAACGGGTGTTATCAGCTGCCACCAGTCTAACGCCAACAAGGGTGAAGCTTGCAACTTAAGGTGATAATTATGATGCATTTAAATGCAGTGGTGCAAGCGAGCTGGACAGTAATTACGAAAAATTATTTTCGTAATAACTGTCCAGCTCGCTTGCACCACTGCATTTAAATGCATCATAATTAATAAATGAAAAAAATTTTATTTTTAGATCAAGTGTCCCTGGCAAACTTGTTATCGTGGCAGGGGGCAATGAAGCAAAGATGACTGTACTTTCCAGTCAGCAATGTTCACTTATATCCCGCAATAGCTAACTAGATGCATTCACGCCAGGGTCGTCATTAATCCAAACACTATGATTACTAGGAGCGGGCTATCTTCCGGTGTTAAAAAGGAAATAGTAATTCAAGCCAAAAATAGGGATGGGTTACCTTTCGGGGGTGGGGCATCTCTCGGGACTTACGTGTAAACAAAAATTTTAACTTGTGGGAGATGTCGTGGTGTGTATATTCAACATTTATAACAAGTGAATTGTCATTTGTTGAAATGTAGCGATGTTGAAGAATATGAAATGCGAAACATCCAAGATAAGTAGATACTGTCAACGTAACTGAATACACCAACAGGTGCAACAGAACATTTATTCAAATCTTAATTTCAAAAGGATAAAGCTGAAAAGACTTGCAGATTAAGGCCCGTTCACACACCCACAACCGAGTAGGACCGGCTGACACAAGACCGGTTTTTAAGTCACTTGCGACGGCTTAGGACCTGCTTCGCAGCAGCACATCTGGTCCTACCCCGTCGCAAGAGGCTTTCTTGTCTCACCCGGTTGTACTTGGTTGCAAGCGTCTGAAGGGTCCTTTACTGGTCTTCAACAGCGCAGGAGTCTTCTTTTAATCGTAAAATATATTCTTCGAACAAATTTTTAAAAAATCGTCTTCAGTGCCTTGTGTGAATACATAATATGTTTCGCAGAGTACATAGCTTGCAGTAGAGCTCTGCACAAGTCAAGGTAACACACATTATTTCCAGCCTTGGTCTGGTCCCGGGCCGGGTAGCACGGATTCTTTCTGGTCTTGGGCCGAATAGCACAGATCCTTTCCTAGCCCGGGCCAGGCTTGGGCAATGGTGTAGCACATTTTGTAAAACGTTGAGAAGAAAATGCTAACGCAATGATCATATAGATTCGAAAGAAAAAAAAAACCTGAAGTGCAAACTGACGAACACGTAAATACTGAACACTTTTAGTTTATTGTGACTTCAGTTCATACTGGACTGCGTAGAATCTGTGACTTGTATATGCTCCATAATGTCTCAAACCTTTTCTCCATCTTTTAAACAAGTGCTATTAAAATCTCTATTTTGACACTCACAATTTTATGCAGACGTATAAATGTCTTGACTGTGTCTTTCATGCGAATTAGGCTACACGAACCAAATGCACTAACACCTTCCTAGGGCAGCTTTGAAATTAAGAGATGAAGCACACCTTGGCCTCTCACCGGGCCGGGCCCGAGCCGGGCCTGATTCGGTAAGTTTGCCATCAAGCCTGGTCAGGGTCGGGTAACACTAAGAGTCAGCGGGCCCGGACCAGGCCGTGCCGAGCCTCAAAAAGTAGGCCCGTGCAGTGCTCTAGCTTGCTGCCTCCAGCTGACTGATCTGATCTGTGTTGTTCGTTTTTCAGGAACTACCAGAGGCGACGGCGGCGAGCTTGTCGTACGTCGAACCCTGTACCGGGTGCTCTCGCTGCTTCGTCGACGAGGTCGGGATGAGACGGGCCGAGAGACGACGATGGTGGTCCTCTTTTATGCCAAGATCTGCGCCCCAAGGTCAGCGTCAAGCTCGGGACTGTTGGTTGTGCTTTTTTGGAGCGGCAGCTTTATGTGCAAACCTTGCATAGGCCTTGCTTGCTCGTGTTAGTCACACGGCAACAAAGGCATGGGAGAGGGTATCAGCAGTGGAGTTCAGCTGTTGGCTGAACCACACAGCATGCTACTAACGAAGCTGCACTACGCAAAGTGTGAAGGTATGCGGAGTGCAAGTTCGTCTGCTTCTTATTGGCCGATTGAGAAAAATAGTGGGTAGGCCTCAAGGCATCTAGCATTGAGATCTACCCACTATCCTTTCAATGAAAGCCAATCAGAGCTCGGCATCGTCCAAACATCACTGCAACTCCTACAAAAGAAACAGACGCCTTGCTCTCCGCATAGCAGTGTGCTAACGCTCCTCAACCCCCTTACCGCCCCCCCCCCCCCCAATTCCAGGAAGCCACGAATTTTGTTTGAATAATCAGAAATTCATTTAAATATGATATAAGACAAAAATCGTGACTTGTTATATGGATGCCTACAGATACAAAGTAGGTATTTGATGATTTCCTGTACACAGGTATACCAGTCATAAGCAGGCATGCCACATGGGAAACATTGGTGAAACGTATGAGATATGTTTGTTCCATCGTGTGGGGACTCTTTAGCCAGCACATCACACCTCAAAACAGAAATAAGTTTGTTCATCCAACAAAAAAGTTGTGTTTTGTGGACTATTAGCGCTGTTGTGCATACTTCCTACCACGTATTGATGCACTGCAGAGAAGCAACACCCACGGGAGCGAGCTCGGAAACGCTCCCGTGGGTGTTGTATAAATTCCCGGGGTTCCGGCGCTCGGAAACGAGAACAAAAAGTATGAATTACGCAAAATTGTCGTTCAAATTAAGTGTCGTATAAATACATGAAAAACATGGCGGGAGAACCAAAATTTTAAAATTTGATCGAATTTAGTAGAAGTACAAAGTAGCATCAGAGTTTGGATTACGGTGAGCCTATTTATAATCTAGTAGACGTGAAGCCATTTCGAAGTGCTGTTCTTTGAAAACCTTACCAAGTGCTACCAGACTGTCATTGCCTTTGACAAAATGTCCAAGCCACACTATTATTTTTTTTTCGACCTGTGGTTAGTTTGTGAAGAAAGGGTTCGTGATATTTCTTTTTGTTTCCGTTAGAAAAATGTACTGACATGCCAAAACTTCAACAAAACAACAAGGCACTTTTCCCAGCATGCATGCCTCTATAGTAATGACTTATAATTCTTTGTGATACAGCAAAGATATTGATATCCTTAGTGAAGCTAAGCTGACTTGCACTTTTAATACTGATGTAGGCATTGAGGTACTTAGCTTGGATCCCAACATAGTGTGGAATTTTCCTCCAAAAACTTGACTAGAAATTTGAGTGGTTTTAGTGTATGTGCCGTATAGGCAAGAAATATCCGAGTTGAATATGTAAGAAATTTATAAGCTAAATCTTTTAGCAATCTTTGGGCAACCGTTTGCGGAGAGTGCAAGCGTAATTTCTGTTGGGGACAAGAAAAAGCACCAAATTCTGCAGTATAACGTCCAAGGATCTTTGCTTCGGCCACGGTGTAAGATAATACTCTTCGGGTGAGGACAGCGTGCTCCTCGCGACATGCTGATAAAGTTCGCTTTTCACTCTCTTTCTTTTTCTCTCTCACTATGATTTTAAGCGGCGCCGGCAGATGACTCGTCGACCCGTGGGTACGTAAAGCCCCTCTATGGGCACGGTGTAAGACGCAGGAGGCAGGCAGCAGTGCACAAGACGGCTCGTGCCGCCTCATGCTCCACATGCGCACAGCTCCAGCGAGGTTGTTGCACATGCAGAAGGACCACGGTGTACCAGGGTGTCATGGCAACGAGATAATTTTTTTTTTCGCTTTCACACGGTTTCGCCGTTTGGCCGCCGGCGACTCTGTCCGCTGCGGGCACGGTGGCCACGGAATGATGCAGCCTTTCAGATGCCCGTCGAACGAATTCTATCTCATTCCTTGCGCCGCGCGTTCAGCCCCGCCGTGTCCTCACCTAAAGAGTGTATCTTACACCATGGCTTCGGCCAATGTCTTCTTTGTGCAGCTTCGGAGCCACGCACGGACTACAGCAAAGTCACCAACCCGGACTGTGGCATTCAGCGTCACAGCGTTCTGGGCCACTGCCAGCTCGACGTATCCGCAAACTTCAAAAAGGTCAGAAATGATCCCTCAGCACTATAACGAACCCAAGTTAGTCCCTAACTTGATTTGGCGGTTTACGAAGGCTGGGAGCGAAAGCGGAAACAGCTTTCGAAAACGTAAGCTGTTTGGGCGCTCTCTCGCACTCGGCAGAACTTGGGAAGGTATGAGCTGATGCCTGCAGCTTTCTGGTACTTCGGCCATGAGTGCTCAGCACGGGGTGCTGGATGGACCAGTTATGTGCAGTTCTCACGAAGGTCAAAAATACCACTTCCTGTAAAACAATGTGCACAAAAGGTGCTTAGTGAACAAAAATGGAATTCATGTGAATGGCAGATATAAATGAACATGACAAATGCTGGAGACATTGAGATGTTGGTGTGGTATGACTCTACAATCATTGACAGGATGAGAACACTATGATGGTCCTTCAGTTGTTCAGTGTCCAGTGCGACTTTCCTGCATTCATTGACGCTCCGGCGTTTCTTGAGCGTGCATGCGGATATCACATATCCCAAGGAGAATGCATACTGTGTGAAGGGACGTGACTGACTTTCACATGTAAGAAGCATTGCATAACTTGTGCTTTTCAGAAAGAGGAAAAATTTTCCGTGAAGCTAGGGCAATTAAAATGCTTACTGGGTAGAATGCATGAGCCCTGGGGTCTCTTTAGGTTGTTCAACGAAAAAAAGAAAAAAAAAAAAAAAAAACTCTAGTCTTTAGTTTGTGGAGGGGCACATAGCAGTTGATCCAACCCTTCCAGAGAAACAAAGCTTAGAAGAATTTTTGATCAAGTGGAAAGGTTTTTTTGTAAATACTATAAAGTGTAAACATATAATTTTTTTTTTCTTTGCATGAGGTGTTTTTATGAGGGCGTCGCTTTTTTTTATTAGGAGCTAATTTTTCGTATCTTTTCATTTCAGGATCTGCATGCCCTGAAGCTAAGTGTCAGTCCACCATCCTCAGGGAGGCTGCAGTTCTTCTCAGAATGGTGAGTCACATTCCCTTTCACAGCACTCACCCCTTCACAACACTTACCTTGAGTTGAGAAGGGAGCTAACATTTGGCACAAGCTTTGCCGGTTTTGTAGGCAAGCTGATGAAGCTTGTGCCAATTTTCCATCTCACTACATGAGTGAACAGCACAAACTTTTAAGACCATGTCTACCATCGTTTTGCCAATACCAAGGTTTCATTTCACAGAAAAACAATTGGTGCCTTATTAGTGTCTGCAGAGGAGCAAATCCAAGGAGGTAAATGGCAGTTAGGATAATCAATTTCTGAATTAGTTTTGCATAACTAATTGATCAAAGTAAACATGTAGTTTTTCCTATATATTCATTTTAATTAAGTTTCTAAATAAAACTGTTTTATGTTGTTGTTGTTTTTTAATTAAGCTAAATTAATAGGAAATTTTATTATCTTAAACACTACATATACCTCAATCTTATTTCTGTGTCACGCATAGTTTTTATATGAGGCATTATGGAGGACGTTTGGTGAAATGCCTTGTATAAGAGTTTGCTGGTTATTGGCAGTGTAGGCCCTCCACTCTTTGTGGAACAGATTGCTGTTCAAAGCCTTCGTTCTTTGTTATTAAAAGCCAAGAACCAAACCTGCAAAATCACCTATTTCCTCCTCCCTTGGCTTTTGAGAGTGGGAAAAAGAAGAAGGCTCACATGCATTCGCACCTTGGGAATTAAAATAATTCTCCATGGGCACGCGAGTAGCGTTTGTTACAGCTCGATGGAGTGTGGTCGAGTTTGGTTTGCTCGCCTGTGACTCTCAGAATAGAGGTATATTCAAATGTGTTTATTTTCCACCTTGTAAAAATACAGATGGAGGGGCTATGGAAAAAAAAGCTGCGCTTAGCAGCTTGACGAGCCCACAGTCTCTGTATTAATGGCAACTAAGCAGCACTACGGTCGGAAGAATGAACATGCATAAAAAGGATAATGACAACAAAAACGCAAAGGTATACGGGCGTACAAAACAAACATCATACTCCCATGGTTAAAGACATTGCACGGAGTTCACTGTACTTAAGGCGAATAAATCAAAATGCATAAGGTGATAAGCGTTTAATAATGACGGAAGTGTGTAACATAGTCATTCTTTTCTGTAGTTTAAACGATGTGTAGCTACTACCCAATTCTCTCCATGTCTTGTAGTATAGTTCACTTCTCTAATTTGTAGTTGTGCCAGATTTTGTATATTATTTATATTCCTCTGTGTTTCCAGCTTATACCGTACACTCAATCGATGTTTATATAGGTTGTATGCTGGGATCACGTGGGAACGATAAAAAAAGTTTGCACATGACGCTCTGTATGGCGCGTTGTAAATATGTCTAAGACATTTTTTTTTTGTACCAAATAAACAAGTTGTAAGTTTAAAAATGTGGTTGTCCCCCACACTAGTTGACAGCAATTCAAATGGGAATAAAAGAGTGAATTATGCAGAAGTAACTTGATTCTTGTGTGAAGAAGGTATCTAACACAACCTATTATTCCAGTTATCTGAGCTATTTTGCCTACTAAATAGTTCATATGACTATCCCACGACATATTTGTGGAAAACACGACACCGAGACATTTAAAGTGCTCCACAATTTCGATTGGACGGGAATTGAGGAAAATATCTCTATGCACTGGAATTGGCTTATTTTTCGGTCTAAATAAATCTGCTTTTGTTTTCAACTCATTTATTTCTATAGAATTAGATTTTGACCAGTTCTCCAGTGCTTTCATTGCGTGATTACATGTGTCTACCAATTCATGGATATCAGTGCCGGCAAAGAAAATACTAGTGTCATCAGCGTAGATAATGAATGTGGCACTAGGGTTAATTTTTACAATATCATTAAATATTAAATAGCAGTGGCCCTAATATACTTCCTTGTGGTACACCACAAGTCACGGATAGAGCCTTAGAACACATGTTGTTTATCTGAACAACCTGTTTTCGGTTTGATAAACAGGATTTCAAAAGCAATAAAACCTGTCCACAAATACCATAGTAACTAAGTTTCCCCAACAGAATATCATGACTCACTAAATCAAAGGCCTTGGAAAAATCCACAAATACACCGCTAGATGCCTGTTTTCAAAGGCCTCCAGCGACGAAGCTTTAATGTGAAAGCATTAAAGGGGCACTGACACCCCAAAGGTCTTTTTTTGTTGTTGTTGTCTAAAACGATGCAAGTTATTGTCACGGACACACAAAAAAATACCACAATGCGAAAATAAATGTTCCCATGCATGCGCGCCTTTTTATTTTTGTTGTTTTTCTCTCCCGCTCCTCACCTCCTTCTTTCTTTTGATTTGTGACGTCAAATATTATGAAATTCAGAAGGTTTGTAGGCTACATTTCTATAACATTTAATAACGGAATTCGTAGAATGCCGTTAATAAATGTTAAGGTCAAAGCAGACGTGCCACATAAAAAAAACACAAGGAAAAGCCCAGCAACATAGATGCATCGTCACCGAAGCCGTGGAGCCGGCGGGGCGCTGCACCTGCGTGGTGGAGAATGTGATGTCACCGCCGGAGTGCCCTATGAAAAAGGAGGGTGTGGCACGCTGCTTGTAGGAATGCACTGCATGTAGGAATGCTTTTGCATTCCTACATGTAAGCAGCCGTTGGTGTCTTCGTTTAATTTTTTATAGTGCCTGATCTGCCTTAATGCAAGTAAAAAAACTTAAATATTTTGTACAAAAATTTATTTTGTGTTTTATGGTGCTTTATTATTTTTAAATCTTTATATTTGATGTATGAAAATAATTAGTGTCCGTTAGGATCGCGAAATTAGTCAAATACGCATTTGAAGACCTCAAGGCAACTTAGAATGGCATGAATTTGAGCCATTTCTTTCTTCGTGGTTCTTCGAATTGTGACGTCGGCTGCCATCAGATTTTTGTTGCCAAGTAGGCTTAGCCCTCTCCTCCCCATTGCAGTCTTCTGTAGCTTTAATTTCTCACGGGAATTTATATTATTTTCTGCACCGCTAAGCAGCTACACATCTGTAGGAGCATCCTTTTCGCGTCACCTTCACAGTTTGTGCGCAAGAATTTCTGTTCTTAATATTGTCCTATCACGGCCAAATTTGGCATGAATATACTTTATAATATGTAGAATGCAACTACCTAGGTTTGGATAAAATGTATATTTTTGCTATATTTATGAAAATTTAAGAAACATTAGCCCTTTGAAAAGGCATTTTTGTTTTTTTTAATTATTTTAACATGAAAGCATTGTACACAGTATTCTTGTTGTTTATTGCACTCAATGGATTAAAAGGAGCGAATCAGTTTGTTTTACTAGGCTTTTTTAAGCGTGTTGCCATGCCTCACGTGTGTGAGAAAACTTTTTTTTTTTCTGCATGTACATTGCATTGAGAACCTAAAATGCAAGCTATATCAAATATAACACCAGATTTATAAAGAGAAGATTATGCACCATAAAGTGAAAAAATTTCATTTCAAAATTGTGAATACCGTGCACCCGCCCATTCCGCACTAAGTGCCCACCCCCAAAATTTTAGACATCTGAAAAAATGTGCACTGTACATATATACGTAAAATTGATGACCTCACGTGCGTTCATCCCCTATTTTCTTGCGATTATCTTCTAATTTTGAGTAAGCGCTCTCTCAATGTTTTACGGTATTAAAAAGAAATTTCCTGGCACATGTCCCTTTAAAATTGGTCCAGCACATTAAAAAACACACCTGAACTAGTAAACCAAATTACGATCACGGTAAACTGTTTTGACAAAGTTATTAGTCTTTTAAAATTGGTCCGAGAAACACTACTGGCAACACGTGAAAACATGACGTCAAATCTTGTAATATGGGGGCAGTGCAGCTTGGTCCCAAAGGGTCACAAGAAGTTTGATGGTATGTAATGAATGCTAAAAAAAATCATGCTAGCACAAGGGAAAAAGAAATATTGTGCAAAATACGCTTCTTTTTTAGACCGCCTGCTTGAATCGCAGATGATAGTATAACATGGAAAGCGCGGGAAAATGCCAAGGTTAGTTTCGGCATAACTTATGTTTGCCGTTTTCTCGATAACTAGGTATGTTGAATTTAGAGATGACAAATCGCATGCCGGGAGGAGCAAAGCCAGGGTATTTCGAAAACATATTTAGTTTGGGTGGCTGAAAAAACCGCCAGAGTTCCCCTTTAAAGGCATTGATTTCATTTTTTGCAGTATGCAAAGGCAAGCTGGCTCTCATAAGTCGCTGGCACTGAGGGAGCTGTTAGCGCGCGAACTGAACCTGGAATTCCAGAGCGGCACTAAAAAGGTGAGGTGTTCCACAAACGCCTTCGTCTACAGCGGGTTATCTAACGCTATCTCTCCGTACGAGATGGCCATCTTTATCGGGCTTTCCTTTGTCCACAGGAAAATGGCACTGGCAGCCAGGGAACCACAAGGACAGTAAGCGTCGACTCGGTAGAATACCAGGCGCAGAAGGTCTACCTCAAGCTGATTCCACGTGTCTTACATGTGTACTCTGCAGTAAACTCCTGAAGTAGTCCAAGGTCATTGCTGTGTTTCACATGTGCTTGATAGGAACCTAGCAATATGGTGATGAATGTTTTTCTTAACATCCTTTCTTGTTCGTTGCTTTTGTGTCAACAGTTACAAGCTCATACATTTGAATCTTCATCTTTCCTGCTCAGCGTTTGCGAGACCAGCATTTGAGGTGTTTGGTTATTTAAAGGATTTAGCTTTCCGGAGTTTCTCAGAGTTGGCAATGTGATCAGTTCCAATCGCTTGCTGAGCTCTGCACGTTCTGTTTGCTAACATATGTGCAAGCTTCGAACGCTGTGTGTTCTGACACAACACACATCGCGCTATTCGTTAAGTTGGAAAGATGCATTCAAGCCCACTCCTGCAACTGGGTATGTTCCTTTTGCTTTCGGAGAAGGCGGGAAACGAAACAAATTTTGTCTGACCTTGATCGGAGGATGCGAATCCCACACACGGTTCTTTCATTTGTTCTTTGCAGCCATTTCACTCAATTTCCCACCTGTACTTCTACTGGCCGGGTACATTGCCATTACGTAACGCTAACGCTCATCGGAAAAGTACCGCAGTTTTGACGTTACCCAGAAAGGCTATCTCTTTTTTTTTAATGCGGCAGCACACGTGATAAGGCAGCTGTCATAAAAGTGGGGTGACAAACGGGCGCGTTTTCCGTATAGCTATCCCGTATGTTGTGACAGACGCTCGGCCGCAGTTGGTGTAAAATCAATTGTTCCTGTCCGGTCGAAAGTGGAATGCAGAGGATCTACATGTACCGGCGTTCTCCTGGGCTCATCGTCGAATACCGATACGTAAGTATTTCAGCTTGCGTTTGTCTCTGTGTAGTCGCGTGTACTGGCTGCCTCGAAATATTTTCAGCTCTTTGCTAGATGACGTAAAACAAAACTTAAGAGAAATAGCTACAGGAAGTTTGCTGTTTCCTCGTTTTGTATTACAGACATCCCAATTTCAGATTGAGAGTAGAGTGCCCTGTTTCTGACATCTGTTCTCTGCCTTTAAAATGGTGAGGTCGTTATTCTGCCACAAACCCCTCAAGCACCGCCGTCAAAAAATAAATAAATACATGCGCCGCAAGTATGTGCACGCGGCAGTTGTAGCATCTATAATGTGTAGTTGTTTGTCTCGGAGCGGTCCGTCTGTTTTGTAGCACACATGTCTCAACTCCCGTGTCGACTCTGGAGCACACGAAATGTGTCTTCCGGCTCCAGCTCTTAGCTGCCAGCAGTTCACCACTATTTCTAGTCACGGTATCGAGCACATCTGTGTAGCCGTTGTTTGATTTATACACACACACACCCTGATACACCTAATGGTAAGTTTTGAAACTTTGACACCTGGGCCCAACTGCCAGCGCTACATTTGGGCCAAGACCAAGACTTCAGCGATGTGTCGTTCATATGTGCGTGAACAAGAGGATGGTTCTCTTTTCTCCAACACACCCTGTAATTTTGTTTTAGGAGAAGCAGGACAAGACCCTCTCACAAAGCTCTCTGCTCGCCATGATGGGTGCTTTCCTCCTCTATGCTCACTTCCTCTCCAGCATTCCCTCTGCTGAAGTGGAAAGAGCAAAGGGTTTTCTGGAAGGATCTTGTCCTGCTTCTCTTATCCAGCAAGACTATGTAATGGTCTTAGTATAGTATATATAATAGTCTTAATAGTATACGACCAAAGCTGTAATGAAGCATTGCCGAATGGAAGCTAATCGTGTGTGTCGTCTTTCTTTTATTTTTTGGTATTATTACTAAAAATACCAGTGCTCTACCATGTGCTGTTTTTCCGTTTATCCCTCCCCCCTCTAGTATATTGATTTCCCGGAAAAAGTACATTTTTTTCCTTCGAATTGAGTCGGCAAAACACAAAAAGAAAAAAAAGCTAGTGGCCTTTATTTGCAACACGTGCCTACTCTCGGCGAACATGTGGCTCTCCGGTTTATTTTTTTATTTTTTTTCATTGACTTGTCGAACATAGGTGCCATATGTTAATACGACACACATCTACAGAATATAGTTGCAGCAGTCCACCTCTGACGGAGACTTGGTTAGAGGACTTCTTGGTGGGAAACTCGAAAATGCAAAAATATTTTTCATTGAGAGATTAGACGTTTGAGAGAAATTTTAACAAAAATAGAGACTAATTAATGCACATACATTTCGGAAAGAGTATTTCCTTCACTTGAAGAAGGAAAGACTTTCCGAAGCATCTGTGCCATTTAAGTTTCTTGTTATTCAAATTTCTCTGTAGGAAACTCCAGGAAAGAAAACGGGGTAATGGGAAGGAAGGGAAACTCCATCTACCATATTATTGGATTGCACTAACTTGGGGTTGAAAGATAAACACAATCGGTACAAAATCAATTTTGCAGGAACTTGCTAGCTTGAAGAAATGTTCGTGCTCACCGCCACAGTCGGCTGTGACAAGCGTGCACGGCAGAACAGCTGTAGCTGCGCTACTGTGCTACTGTTCACAGCTAACAGCTGTAAGCAACCAAATTTCTTTTTTCTTTTTCTTTTTTTTGCTTGTGACACGTTTTCGCTGCGAATTGGCGAAATCATCATGCATAAATAGACTTTGGGTCAGTAAATAGCGTTCAGGTATTGCTCGTACGCAATTTCCAACGTTAGAGGAACATCTTCCCAGTCAACACACAACATCCTGAGGACATCCTCAAAAGGTCCTATCATCCTCGTCCGCTAAAAGTAGTCCATGGAATGTCCGCAGGATGAATCCTACGGGCCATCCGGAATTCGTCATCAACGTGGAGTCCTAAGGACATCCTCAGAGGGTCCTTGCATCCTGGTCCGCTAAATTCGAGCAATGCCTTGCAGGTTCTTCGAATAAGCTTTCGAGATCAAATATGGAAAAAAAGAAACCACAGCAAAGCCAAAATGCTGCTAAAAAGGTTAAAAACAGTTTAAACCGCCGACCAGCGCGCGCCAAGTTCAGACAGCGATTGCGTGATGTTGTCGCAATGCGGCTTTTGCTTTAGAGCTTGACCCAAATGCCAAAACGTACACCGGCGACTAGAGAGAACTTCGGCGCGCACTTTATTGGATGAAATTTGGTGACGTCACGACCAATAGGAGCACGGAAACAGACGCGGTCTCCTCAACGCCCGGAGAAACCAGAGAAACATCGGAAACATCGTGCCTGACGAACCGTCGTCGAACGAAAGGTGAGTGGTTTGAGTTTTCCTGTGATGTGATCTCTATGTGTGTTCGTTCCACGCGTCCGAGCTCTTTCTTCGTTTCAGATCTATTTGGCGCCGCTGCGTACATTGTTTGAGCCTGCGTTCACGATTAAAACAACCATCGCAGAAAGCTGAAAGCCCGCCGAAGAACGGCTGACTTGCGAGCTAAACCTAATTCAACAAAACCATTTGATCCGACAGAATAATGTGCTTGATCTTACATTTCATGTCAACAAAGAACTGCGCTGTCTGTCTTCGTCCCTACATGTTTTATTTCGTGTTTTTCAAATCTTTACCAACCCGCGTCCAATCGAATGCCCCGATCACAACAAATAGTTGGTCGTACTCCGATGGCCCTTATCATCAGCCGGTAAGGCAGTTACGTTTTTCGTTTCTGTATTTTGACCCAAGTAACGTCATATTCTCAAACTGAAATTCTATCACCACCTCTAGTTTCACATTCTGGTGCACCGTGCACTTGCAGCTTCCTGCACCCCTGCGAGGTTTCCTGCGATCGTACCCTGTATATTATGGATTTCTCGCCGCACGCGAGTGCTCTCGAAGGCGTGCTATACACTCTGTAACATAGGCTGTGTGCAGAAAAGGCACAGGCCCGAGCACAAAAGCGCCCTTTTTGTACGAGCAGCCGTGCAAAAAGAACATTCTGCGGAGCTACGCACTCGCACCCGTGCCTCTGCTGCACACAACTTATTAATAACCGAGCCGTTCTCGTTTTTGTTTTGCATATTACTGTGAAAGAAGTGTCATTGTTGTTTTCTTCTCAAACAAAACTCACGCGCTAGACAAAAGCAAACAGATAGGAGTCTGCACATTCACACCCTTTTCTCCCTTGTGCGACAGGTTATAGCTGGTCGCGATTCAACACCGTTTCTTTTGAAGCTGATGGGCACCACAAGGCGTGAAAGAGGTGACTTGCAGCTTTGCCAAGGCAGCAGCAAAACACTACAAGCCTTCGCATTAACTGGCTAGCCAGTGCCGCTCTGTTCTGAACAGCTCTGCGTGCCGTGCAGAGGGTTTGTGCAAGCTCGCTGGGTGGCGACGCTAGCCACGGTAAGTGCATCCTATGCAGCTTTCTTTTAGGGATATATGTGGCTTGCAGGCCATGTCGTGCATGTGCCACCCGAGGGACAGCAGTGGCAAGGCTGTGCTGATGGTAATCACCACTGCACTGTGTTTTCATTCAATAACTACTGAAAAGGAACCAAGTACTTCCGAAAGAGTCTCGGTTGTGCTTTGATGAACTCCAACTCGCTTATGTACAGGTGGATGGCACAGCTGGCCTTTCCTAATGGACTTGATGTCTGTGTTAACAATGCAACGAGACTTCTTTTTAGTTTGGGGCATTGTTTCTGCTGCGGATGACTAGCGTTGCAGTAGAGAAAGATGCAAAATAGTGTGATGCTTGCATTAGTTACCTAAATTAATGGCGGGAATAACTGACCTACATTTCCACCGACAGCATTTCTCAGAGGAATAGCCTGGACTAGATAGCTCGCTGCACTATGTCCTTCCTCCTTAGCCTGAACGTCTTTTCCTGATTGTCTTATGTGGCTGCTTCTGTGTTTGCCTAGGCACTCGGTTGAAATAGTGAAAGCTGTCTGCATTGCACATAACTGCCATGAAAGCCAGTGTGGACGTAGCTGGGGTAGCCCCCAATATGGCTTCCCTAGCTCGACACAAGTAATGTTCCTACCACTGTCGTGTTCGCAGAAAAAAGACCTGCTTAAAAAATCCAGCGATTTTTTGGGCAACCCCACCTAACCACATTTTCAAAATCGCCATCTTTTAC